AAAAAAAAAAAAAAAAAACCCACACAGGAGGAGGCAGGAGCCTATTTTGCCTCCCAGGCAATATTTCTGGAGCCAATCGGAATGCGCACCCACCCTGCCCTGCTCCCTAATTAAAGGCTTGAAGCAGGCGGCCGGGGCCGGAGGTTTGGGCACAGTCACTCGCTGGCTCCTCGCGAAGAAGCCGCAGCTCCGGATCCCTCTCGGGGCACTCCAGGCCTCGGCAGCCGCCAGGTTGGGGGGTCCCCAGCCCGGGCAGGCAGCTGCCCCCTCCCCGCTCCCCACCATGAGCGGCTCTTTCGATAAAAAGCTCACCAGCATCCTGACGGACCTGTCGGGCTCGCTGAGCTGCCATGCAGCCTCCAAAGACTCGCCCACCCTGCCGGAGTCCTCCGTCACCGATTTGGGCTACTACACTGGCCAGCACGACTACTACCCGGGCCAGCCGTACGGGCAACCCGTGGGCCACTATCCCTACCCTCAGTTCAACCTCAACGGCATCGCCGCCGCCGGCACTTACTCGCCAAAATCCGAATATTCCTACAGCCCCTCGTACCGCCAGTACGGCCACTTCAGGGAGCAGCAGCTGCCGGCGCAGGAAGCAGGTAAAGGGTGCGGGGGGCACGGGGGTCGCGCTCCTGTGGGGTTTCGGAGGGGGATTTGTGGGGTTGTGACCCTCCCGTGGGGTTTCGGGGGGGATTTGTGGGGTTTCGGAGGGGGATTTGTGGGATTGTGACCCTCCCGTGGGGTTTCGGAGGGAGATTTGTAGGGTTTCGGAGTGGGGTTTGCGGGGTTGTGACCCTCCCGTGGGGTTTCGGAGGGAGATTTGTGGAGTTGTGCCCTTCCCGCGGAGTTTCGGAGGGAAATTTGTGGGGTTATAACCCTCCCGTGGGATTTCGGAGGGGGATTTGTGGGGTTATACCCCTTCTCGTGGGGTTTCAGAAGGAGATTTGTGGGGTTGTGCCCCCTCCTGTGGGGTTTCGGAGGGTAATTTGTGGGGTTATACCCCTCCCGTGGGGTTTCGGAGGGGAATTTGTGGGGTTGTACCCCTTCCGTGGAGTTTCGGAGGGGGATTTGTAGGGTTTCGGAGAGAGATTTGTGGGGTTATACCCCTCCTGTGGGGTTTCGGAGGGGGATTTGTGGGGTTATACCCCTCCTGTGGGGTTTCGGAGGGAGATTTGTGGGGTTGTGCCCTTCCCGTGGCGTTTCGGAGGGGGATTTGTGGGGTTATACCCCTCCTGTGGGGTTTCAGAAGGAGATTTGTGGGGTTATACCCCTCCTGTGGGGTTTTGGAGGGGGTTTTGTGGGGTTGTGCCCCTTCCTGTGGGGTTTCGGAGGGAGATTTGTGGGGTTGTGCCCTTCCCGTGGCGTTTCGGAGGGAGATTTGTGAGGTTGTGTCACTCCCGTGGAGTTTTGGAGGGCGATTTGTGGGGTTGTGGCCCCTCCGGGTGTCCCCAAGCTTTGTGAAGTGTCCCCGACTTGGGGACGGGGGTTTGCTGGTGGCTGTTGGTGGTGCCCGTGTTCCCGTGGGGACGCGATGGGACGGATCCGTGGAGTGAATTCGCGGTGGATCCATGGGATTTGATCCACGGGATGGATCTGTGGGGTGAATTCCGGGACCGATCCACGGGGTTAATCCTCGGGACGGATCCACGGGGTTTATCCGCGGGATTTACCCACGGGACGGATTCTCGGGGTGAATTCGCTGTGGATCCTTGGGGTGAATCCACGGGACGGATCCACGGGCTGAATTCATGGTGGATCCACGAGATTGATCCCCGGGATGGATCCACGGGCTGAATTCGCGGTGAATCCGCGGGATTGATCCTTGGGGTGAATCCGCGGTGGATCCGTGGGATTTATCCACGGGATTTATCCGTGGGATTTATCCCCGGGATTGATCCCCGGGACGGATCCGTGCTGGACACAGAGTCCTGGACATGTCCCAGGAGCTGTCCCAGCACCCGCAACGCGGTGGCACCGAGTCGGGGAGGGGTGACACTGAACCGGGGAGTGGATGACACCGAGCCGGGGTGGGGGTGACACCGATCTGGGAAGGGGGTGACACCTCGGGGGATCCTTCCCGCCTCACCCCGCGCTCTCCCGCAGTGTCCGTGAAGGAGGAGCCGGAGCCCGAGGTGCGGATGGTCAACGGGAAGCCCAAGAAGATCCGCAAACCCCGCACCATCTACTCCAGCTACCAGCTGGCCGCCCTGCAGCGCCGCTTCCAGAAGGCGCAGTACCTGGCGCTGCCCGAGCGCGCAGAGCTGGCGGCTCAGCTGGGGCTCACCCAGACCCAGGTGAGCCCCCCCGACACCCCAAATCCTCACCGCGGCCGGGAGGGAGCGGGAGATGGGGAGAGCGAGMTGCCGCCCCCATGGGAATTCGGGATTTGGGGTTTGGGGTGGAGGGTTGTGGGGTCCCCAGGGTTGGATTTTACAGAGATAGGGGATGGAGCGCGGCCGTGCWCCACTGGGAAGTTTTGGGGTTTGCCCCGCTCCCTTTAGGGCCGGYCCCATCGCCGTGTCACGGGGTTTGGGGTTGGATCCCGTCCCGGCACCTGGGACAGTCACGGCACTCCCGGCGCCTCGGGAATGTGGGACACCGAGTCCCGGGTGACACAGGACACTCGGGATGAGCGCTCAGAGCCGGTTTTTGGGTCACCCCATCCCCACAGCAGCTCCCGATCCCAGCCCAGCCCGATCCCGGGGAGCTGCGGCCGGACCGGACCCCGCTCCCACCTCCCACAATTCCCAAAATTTCCCGTGGCTGCCCCGTCCCTCTCGGAAAGGATTTGGGGACCGGTTCCACACCCGCTGGCCCCTGCCAGGTTTGGGGTGGCCCTTCAGGCTGGACTGGAAGAGCCGGGCCRTGCGGGATGGGTTTCCCCCGCTCCCCGCGAGCCGCCCAGATTGGGGCTGAACCCCCGCTTTTGGGGACAAACCGAGCCCGGGGACGCGCGGGTGGCGGGGGAACGGGGCTGTCACCGCTGTCCCCACAGTTGTGACACCCCCGCGCCCCAGCGCGGTGCCCTCCCTGCCTCGGGGCCGGCGCCGGCGCCCTTGTGCCGCCCTTGGCCTTCCTCCTCCTCCTCCTCCTCCTCCTCCTCCCTCGGGCGATGAAGCAATCGGGGACACTCGGCAAAGGGCTGACGGAGCGCGTCACCCGCTCCCAGAGGGACATCCTGTTTGGGTGACAAGCGCCGCCACCCCCGCCCCTCGCCCAGGGCCAAGGGCGTCCAGCGCCGCCTCGCCCAGCGCGGGGACGCTCCCGACGCCCGGCGTGTGGCGTGACGGGCTCCCCGTGACGCCCGGTGTCGCCAGGGGGGCTCCCCGTGACGCCCGGTGTCGCCAGGGGGGCTCCCCGTGACGCCCGTGTCGCCAAGGGGGTCACCACGAGAGCAGTTTGTCACATGGGTGCTTCCCATAGAGCACGGGGTGGTGGCGGTGTGGCCGTGTCCCCCGGTGTGGCCGTGTCCCCCGGTGTGGCCGTGTCCCCGGTGTGGCTGTGTCCCCGGTGTGGCTGTGTCCCCGGTGTGGCTGTGTCCCCGGTGTGGCCGTGTCCCCGGTGTGGCCGTGTCCCCGGTGTGGCCATGTCCCCCGGTGTGGCCGTGTCCCCGGTGTGGCCGTGGCTGTGTCCCCAGTGTGGCCGTGCCCCCGGTGTGGCCGTGTCCCCGGTGTGGCCGTGGCCGTGTCCCCAGTGTGGCCATGTTCTCCGTGACATCCACACCCTGGGTGGCTTCCTGTCACCCCTGTCCCACAGAGCTTCCTGCCACGCACAGTGTGGGGTCCTCATGATGTCCCTTCCCTTGGCGCCCAGTGTGTCACCCGTATCCCTTGTCCCTTCATTGTGTCTCTGGGGTCACTCTGACTCCCATATCTCAGCTTTGTTCCAGTGTCCAGGGAAGGTCCAGGTTCCCCATGACCCATGTGTCCCCTCCAGTGTCTCTGGGGTCACTCTGACCCCCATGTCCCTGTGTCTCTGGGGTCACTCTGACCCCCATGTCCCTGTGTCTCTGGGGTCACTGTGATCCCAGTGTCCCCTCCAGTGTCTCCAGGCTCCCCATGACCCCCATGTCCCCTCTGGTGTCTCTGGGGTCACTGTGACCCCCATGTTCCTTGTCCCCTTTGGTGTCTCTGGGGTCATTCTGCCCCCTTGTCCCTGTATCTATGGGGTCACTCTACCCCCATGTCCCCTCCTGTGTCTCGGAGCTGCCCGTGACCCCCATGTCCCTTGTCCTTTCCCGTGTCTGCAGGCTCCCTGTGACCCCCATGTCCCCGTGTCTCTGGGGTCACTGTGCCCCCAGTGTCCCCTCAGGTGTCTCTGGGGTCACTGTGATCCCAATGTCCCCTCCCATGTCTCTGGGGTCACTCTGCCCCCATGTCCCTTATCCTTTCCCATGTCTCCAGGCTCCCCATGATCCCCAAGTCCCCTCCTGTATCTCTGGGGTCACTGTGACCCCCATGTCCCTTGTCCTTTCCCATATCTCTGGGGTCACTCTGCCCCCATGTCCCCTCTGGTGTTTCTGGGGTCACTGTGACCCCCATGTCCCTTGTCCCTTCCCATGCCTCCAGGCTCCCCGTGACCCCCATGCCCCCGCTGGTATCTCCAGGCTCCCCGTGACCCCCATGTCCCAGTGTCTCTGGGGTCACTCTGCTCCTATGTCCCCTCTGGTGTCCCTGTGTCACTCTGCCCCCACATCCCAAGTTCATCCCAACACCCACGGCAGCTCCAGCAGCCTCCCCGCACCCCCCCCGCCCCTCGCTGTCACCCCCTCCCCATTGTCCCCTCCCTCCCTCCCTCTCTCTGACCCTTCTCCCCCATCCCTCAGGTGAAGATCTGGTTCCAGAACCGGCGCTCCAAGTTCAAGAAGCTCTACAAGAACGGCGAGGTKCCCTTGGAGCACAGCCCCAACAACAGCGACTCCATGGCCTGCAACTCCCCCCCCTCTCCGCTCTGGGACAGTCCCGGGGGCAGCAGCAGCAGCGCCCGGACCCCGCTGCCCCAACCGCTGCCCTACAACTCTTCCCCGGGATTTTTGGAGGAGCACAACCCCTGGTACCACCCTCAGAACCTCGGGGGACCCCACGGACCCCACCAGGCGCAGGCGGCGCCCCCGATGCACCATCCATCCCCCGGGCCCCCCAGCACGGGCGCCGTGTATTGACACCCCAAAGACGCTGCACGATTCCTTGGCTTCCCTTTTTTTTCTTCCCCCC